CCCCAAAACCCCAAAACCCCAAAACCCCTCTTGATTAGATGATAATGAATAATTAAAGTATATAATTTAAGATATAATACACTCAGAAAAATGGCAATCAAATTAGGAGAAGTAAATTTTATTTAGTTTAAAGATATTTGAGCATAGTTTGTTTTGATTATTGGTGACCTTCACATTCCCCAGAGAGCAGTAGATGTCCCTGATAAATTCAAGGAACTCCTCCTTCCAAATAAACTCTAATACGTTTTATCACCAGGAAATATTGGCTCAAGAGAGGTAAAATAATATAATTTAGCTTAATCATCATCAGACCTTCGAATGGTTGGAGAACCTTGCCTCAGCTAAATCGTAAATGCATGCTGTGAGAGGAGACTTTGACGAGCTGCCCTCGTTGCCTGAAACGAAAGTAGTGCAGATAGGAAACTTCAAATTCGGTTTGATTCATGGTCATTAAGTTGTACCTTGGGGTGACTTAGAAGCTTTAGCAGCAGTGCAAAGATAGTTAGATGTTGATATCTTGATAAGCGGACATACCCACTAAAACTAAATCATTTAATACGATGGAAAGTATTTTATCAATCCAGGCTCTGCCACTGGAGCTTATAGCAGCATGAATAGCTCTCCTAGACCTTCATTCATGCTTATTGCTGTTCAAGGAGACGAGATTGTTGCCTTTATTTATGAACTTATCAACGATGAGATTAATGTTCAGAGACTTGAGATCGCAAAGAAGAAATGATAAAATAGGGAAAATAGGCAAACTCAATATTAATGAAATAACTAGTTTATTTTAATAGATCAAATAACTTTATTTTTATTAATTTTATCATTTTCTTTGATACTCTTGTTGTTATCGCCCACGATGTAAGGTTCTAACTGATTAATCTACTCCCACATGTTTTCCTCATTCGTGTAGTTTTCAATTGTAAATTGATTGATTGAGGCTTAGTCATATGGCTGCTACCCTTTCTTGGTTTGGAATACTTAATCTACTGTAAGTTTCAACATATCATTTACCATTCTTGGAATGTATTTGCATAGAAGTTAAGATGATTCTTCTAAACATGGGTTAGTGTTAACTTCTATAAGCCACACTTGAAATTCAGAGTCAATGATAAAATCATAGCCGAAAAGTTCAAAGCAACATCCTTAACCTCTAGAATTGGTAGTAATCTTTAATTTCTTTTTAACTGAATCAAGGTTGTTAATTATAATATCCTTCATCCTTGGTACTAATTTCTCTTTGACATAGGTAGGATCAGAATCAGGATCTTCCTCATTAATGATATTTTACACATCCTAGAAGCTCAATTAGTTTCCATCTTCAAATTTTCCATAGTTTTCAGCGAATTTTTATACTGCATTGTTTGTTAAATGGATGGAAGCTTTTGTTATGCTATCTTAAGAAAGAGTAAATACTTCACAACTCGTTCTAATGTACCCCTCCTTAAAGAAGTAGCATTTTGCATCTTAGGTGACCAAAACCCAGACTCTTATATCAAATTTTCGTTTTCTTAAAAGTAAAGGTCTCTCAACATACTTCTAAATTACAAAACTTGTTGATCTGAGACCTTATGATAAGTCAGCAGGAGTGCTCTAAGTTTACTAAGTTTCTTTTTACTATTAAAGCTACTTGTTGATAAGTTTGTTAGTTTATTATTGGGAAGTGTAATTATTTTCAAAGTTTAAGCCATCTGTGTACTCCTTAATAAGCTTTTTTAAATCTTCAAGTTTGTTAAATACATGAATTCCTCTGCCTCTGTTGAAACCTGTAGCTTTCAGTATCCAGATATTTTGAGCTTGAAAATGTGAATAAGGAATCTTTCTTCTAGCATTTATTGGGCCTTTCTCATCTTTGGAATTATGGTAATTTTAGAATTTATTATTGATGTTGCCTAATATTTCTTCTATAGTTCCCTCATCTTGTTATAGCTTTTCACCTGGTATGCCAGTTCCTTCAATTTATTTCTCTATGAATGAAAAATACTGAATGAATTTTTCTAAATCATAGGCGTAGTTTACTTAGTCTACCTCTAATACAAATGTTAGAGGAACAAAATCGAACACATTTTATTTCTTGATTTCACAGTGGTTTAAGAAGTTTTTAAACATTTGATCTTTTGTTGTAAAGCAATCATGATTTTCAAAATGATTCACTAATTATCTTGTACCATGGGTGTTTACAATATCGAATTTAATTCCTTTAGATATTGGATGCCATTTAAAATTAAACAGAGTATCAAAGTCATTTGTTTCTTCCCATCTTTCCTATCTTAGTTCTAGACATTTTCTTACTACCTAAGAGTTGTTACCTGGACAAACAATGTACTATAAGAATTTGACTTGCATAAATTTTACTTTTAACTTTTGATTATTTTGCTTATTTTGCAAAGAGTATTGCTAGTATTTTTCCTTTGCTTCTTATTTAATCTAGAACATTCTTTCTTATTCAATTCTTGCAAGCTCCACTGGATTTACAAGTGGCCTCCTAGGCCTGAAAGAATATGTATTTTTGCCAATTTATTAGCCATTTAACTAAAGTTGATTATTTGAATCATCGTGAGGCTAGGAATCAGGCTTGAGCTCACCATTTGAATCTATATTATCTTAATCTTTCTCTTTGATTACAGACTCATTATTGATGTCTTCTTTTTTGTCTTTTATATATGCCTAGGAATTATAATTTGTTGAAGGTTTTTGATTAAATTAATCTGAAATGCTATTATTTTTCTTCAATCTCATATCCATTGAGTTTCTTTGATTTGACATTTAGTTTGCGTTTCCAGGTTTATTAGTCCTAATGTTGTTTTAGCCGTTTAGGTTTTAAGTAACTGTAATCTTTTAAGAATGCTGTCTATACTTTGAATGAGGTCTTTAATTTTTTATTTTATCATGTTGATCTAAATTTAGCTGCTAGGATGTTTATTGGCCATCTGGTCCTCCCTCTTCATTTGAAATTATCATTGAGTCATCTGTAGATTTTATGATTTTTAGTTTTTCTTTAATAGATGCCATATCTTGTTTATATTTCTATCTCCTAGGTGATGATTTTTCTTGGTTTCCATCTCTCTACCTTTTTGATTGATCTTACTTATCCTTTCCCTCTCTTGCACTCTATAAATTAACTCTCCTTTGCTTATTTGTTTAATTTATTCCTCCACCCATCACAAAATTATGAGGAACGCTCTATCCTTTAATTATTATGTCATCAATTTTATTTTTAGGGCCTTTTTTCTCAAGGATCCATGCTCCATCATACTGCTAAAGTCCAAGAATGCTCTTTTTCATTAGGTCCTACTTAGTCTTTATCTTGCTAGGACTATGCATTGAATTCATAAGATGCTGTTTGGCTATTTAGCTTAGCATTGATGGATAAATCTATTCGGACTCGTTAATATAGATATGATTAACCATAGGAAATTCATGATTGGCACCAGTTGTATTATAGAGCATCGTATGTTGCTAGGTATTTGGATCAAAATAGCTGAATGGATGCACATAAGATTAAGCTAAAAATTTGCTATATGGATCCAACTTTAATTGATTATTATAATTTTTTAGTTTATGCTTTTTTGGTGCTGAAACAGAATGGTGATGACTAATCTATCTACCATCTTATCCATTTAAATCAAATTCAGTAAAACTTTTTATTGCAATTTCTTGAGTAATTTACTCATCTGGCTAAAGATATCTTGCTGATCTCATTATATCAGGAGAAATCATTCTGATCCTACCAGTCTCGTCTTGATAGTATTAAATTTAGCCTAAGTCATGGATAACCTACGTTCTTCTGTTATCCAAAATATGTTCTTGAATAACCATTTCCTCAAATAAATGCTGTTAGTTGTTTATATCAAAGTTGTCTTTGTGGTAACTCTTGTAAATTTCTTAATTTGTTTTGTATCTCTCGTGGTGAATACTTTCTCCATTCTTAATATCATTAGGATTGATAGTTTTGATCCTCAATCCAACTGAATGAGGAATATAGTTATTATTTGAGCCCTCAATTAATTCATTTTCTCCACTTATAGTATTGGATTCACTTCCCTTTTTAATTATACTCATTTCGTTACTTTCACTTAACTTGCTAAGCGTTTTAATATTTCTAACTATAAGGGCATTCTACACTTTTTGCTATTCCAACTACTTAATTTGCTTGCTGTACATTTTAGCATAATGACCTTAAAAGTAGTGATGATTCGGAGTCATATTGGTTGCAATATTTGATAAATAATCTTAATTGGATTCAATCGCTTTTTATATTTTATGCTTCACGTTCTCACTAGTGATTCCGTGCAAATGTTTCTTACTATTTTTACGTGAATTAGGCCTTGATTTAAGTGGATATTGATAACTCGTTTAATCATTCATTACTAGTTTTGGATCCTCTTAAGACTATTACTATTGCTACTCTATTTGCCTTATCTCTTTTTCATACTGGCCTAACTTGCTTGCAGTGTTCTTTTTGATTATTTGCTCTCCTCTTTAGGTTCTTTTTCATTATAGCATCTCGCTAACTTAGTCATATGATTTCTAATTGAATTATATTTCGTAAAATATCTACCTTATAATAGTTGACCACAGGCTGATTACTTTTCTTCTTGGAAGCGGAGTTTGCCTGGAGATTTTCACTTTCAGTTCTTGCTTACATTTATTTCTTAATACAATTTTATTACGTTATAATTATCAAGTTATATTTCTCTTGCGGGGTTTTGGGGTTTTGGGGAGATCGGAAGAGCAC